AACAGGCTTGATGCCATCTTTTCTTCCACCTCAAAAGTCCTATTTCCCTCAATTTATCATGTTGTAATGCTTTGAGCTAGGGCTACTAAAATGCGGTCTCTGATAGCCTAGCTGTCCCCAATCATTCCACTCAGAGTGTCTTCCATATTGGCCTCCAGGCCGTGATAATAATATACACAGGATATCTGTACACCACAGTGCTAAACCCAAGATAAGTTGTCATGTAGACTGCTGTCATTTTCATCCTCTAGACAACCAGAGGATCCCATGGAACATAAATCACAAGTAAATTATTGAACAAGACAACATAGAAATAGAGACAAAGAAATCATTGGCTTGTGATCAGGTCTAGTGTACATATCACACAAATCAAAGACATGAGTGCAGATTCTAGAGGGAAAACATATAGAGAACCTCCTTTGATAGGATTACCAAATCAACGCATGCATCCTGCATGTGAATTCATGTTTTTATTCAAACAGATTCAAATACAGAGATATATAACTATTCTTGAGGAAAAAAGTGTCCTTATTCAAAAGGGGATATCATTTATAAAAGGTCAGGAGTATGATTCAAGTTTTAAATAGAATGTTATCTATCTTATAGTTGTTTCTAGTCGTCTTTCTTGTTGGATACATCCATACGCTTCGGTTTATTTGGGGGTATTGAAGAATACATACGAGTTGAGATAATCACAAGGGCGGTACCTAAGAGATAGTGGCGACCAGGAATCACACCACTGAAACCTGAAGACAACAAAGCCGACACTTTGAAGGAAAATTCATGAAAAAAACTCAGTATGATTGGGTTTGGCTGAAATGGAAGATTTTATAACTTCAGACAAATGAATTTTCAGCTTACAGACTATTGAGAGGCTATTTGCAAAGCTTTTGGTGACGGTGCTACTCTGTGTAACGATGATTGAAACCAAGATCCCACCAAGTGCATGGTACATAATCACAGACCAAACCAAAGTGCTATAACCACAAAAGAAGCCTCTTTTGGTGACTTCAATGTATGCACGAGGGTCGAGATAGATTGCTAAGAATGCAAATGGGATTGTACAAAAAGAGAGCTGTAAATTTTTCGCCCATAGAGCGTTGGAAAGCGGTTGGGCAGTTTGAGACGATTCTAATTCAAGATTCTCGGGCGAAGCGGTTGGTGTGTTAGGATTGATCACTTTTGTTTCTTCTTTCTCAATGTTCGGTGTGGTTTCACGATCCTTGACGAGCTTTTCAAAATAACATCCAGCCAGGCCAGAGGATAAACACGAGCAAATGATCGCGATGAGCCCTTTCAGCCAATCTTGTCCGTCATTGAGTTTATGATGTGATGATTTTGTTGATAAGCTCGGCTGTAGTTGAACTAGCGATACGCCCAAGGTCAATAGCACCGATGATGTCCATTGTAAAGATGTGTGCTTGATTGATTTGAATGATAGATGATATCACAGCACTGAAACTTCGATTGAGTATATGAGTTGAAGGTTCAAGATTGTTGAAAGACTTCATTTAAAGTGGATTGATGAAATGGCGCATACATATAGCTTGGTGATGTTTCAGATCGATTGGGATTTCACATCAACAATCGGATTTGGACTTTCACTTTGAATTGGCCAAACATCGGGTCGGTCATTTGCCCATCTCCCCGGAAAAGGGGTTCCTTTCACCAAAAATTAAGGTCCTGCGTTCAAATCTGCATAGCCCTCATCCTCTCAGCTTGTTCAGCAGTCATCCCGGACCCAGCTGGCAAAGTATCATTCAACTCATGATTAAGATGGAAGGTAAATTGTTTCAAGACAGATTGTGGCATGTCATCAAGGTGAACAAATTGACCACAGTTGACGGTTGGAGGATTATTGTCCGTCTGACTCTCAGCAGATCATAACATGATATCTTTGAGATGCGGTCAATCAAATGAGATATGAAAAGCTCTCTAAATATGCTGTATAGCCTAGCATGGATGACAACAATCTTCCAAACAAATTCATCTCATTTGCTCTCCGAGTGAAGATAACCTTGGATTCAAAATTGTCACGCATATAACCATAGATTCTGAGCTAGGTGTTCAGCTGGTCAGACCTCTCCACTTTACTTATCTCGTCCTTCACCGCCACCATCACTTCCAAAGCTCAATTTCTATTCTTGACTATCGGACTCTACTTTGTCACCACCTTCTATAGTACACTTCAAGCGCAAACTATTTATATCTGACATCCTGATATTCTCATCTTATTCTTTCCAGAACTTTTCACTTCACCGCCTTTACCTGATTCACAAGAGTCCAAATCAGAGATATATCCCGGTATCTTGCAATCTGAACACACTTGTGGAATCCAACTTATTGGTGTTGGCTCATACGTTACAATCTTCTTGTTGCTCACTAATAGTAATACTATAGCTGTGCCAGGCTGCGTCCTTTTCATCCAAGCTCACGTTATTAAAAATACCTAAAATGAGCGAACCGGAAGCAAATTTGTAATTGTTGGGTCTAAATAATTTATTTATGGTTGGTTGGGTGGTTCTCTACTTTGTGTGGAAGAAGTTGAGGGAACAAGCGTGTCTAGGTTAGAGCGCTAGGTGATAATGTGTTGAGAGGGAATACAACGAGTCTTGGCACGGCTACATCGTCGTAGATGGAGAAGGAGACGTAGGGAGGCGCTGACCCCCTGTAGAGCTCATTCTACAAGGTAAAAGTGAGCCCTGAACGAGCTGTGACTGCGTCAAGGTAGTTGTGGAGCGGTGAGAGAGTGTCAGCGGATCCTAGATCATGAACAACACACTATTAAGTAGTATCACATAAAGCCGGTCAGAGTCGGTCGTATCCGCTGGACACATCCCCCTCGCTTGATACTTAGAACATCAAACACGATTAAGCTTAGATTTCTCCACTTGACACCTCGTCTCCCACTGCCATCATCACCCAATCTGATTCAATTGTTGTGTCGAGCCTTGAGGGACTTTGTTAAGTTACACAGTACACTCAATTTTTCCAGAACTTTCCACTTCACCGCCTTTACCTGATTCACAGAAGTTCAAATCAGAGATATATGTACCCTGGTATTTCTGAACACACTTCACGATCTTCTTTTTGAAATATCCCATCAAACCTGTCTCATTCCTCAACAATTATTAAAGAATTTGTCATGCTTTTCTTCAAAATCATCATTGCTGCTGTTCTAGCAGGTCAGTAAATTCCTAGACACTAATCCATATCTCCATTTGTATTTAATCTTACTCGATCCTCTATCATTTCTTACAGCCACGATCTCTGCCAGCCCCGTCCAAGTTGACCAAACGTGAGCAAAGTCTTGACATCTTTCTCCGTGTTGTGCAGCCGCTCTCAGAGACTTTATCTAACGCATGACTTGCTTGATCTCAGTGTCACTGGTGAAGTCCTACAACGACGATCTGTAGAGGACGAGGTTACTCCCATCATCAAAAAGAGATCGTAAGTGAAGGTTTTGAGCATCAACTCGCGTCACTCCACTCTCGTTAATGGTTTGACTAATTTATATGATACCTATTTCTACGCAAAAAAAACTCACTAGGTCAAGCCTCGAAATTCGTTTCCGTAAAGGCAATGGGATACTCTGCCCCATATGTCGCTGTTGTTGATGATTTGGTAAATGCCAATGCAATCAACGTGCGTGTGTGATCCACTCACGGTTTATGGGCGAAAAGTGAATGGGAAGTAACTTGAGGATTACATTTCTTAGGGAGATGGAGCCGTTTATATACGCGTACATCTCGTGACAGAATCACAAATAAGGAAATGTGAGAGTG